CAAAAAAAAAAAAAAGAAAATTTTTTCAGAAAAATCTGATAGAGATAGTACCAAAATAATGAAAATTACATACAGTATCCTTCATGACTACTGTTGTAAACTCCTGAACAAAATATTAGTAAATAGTAACCAACAACATATATAAAAAAGGGTTATACATAATGGCCAAATAGATTTTACCCCAGGATTGCAAGCTTAGTTTAACATCTGTAATTCATCATATTAACAGCATAAAGGAAAAAAAATACATAGTCATTTCAACAGACATAAAACTAAGTGTTGGCAAAATTCAAAGTCAAGTCATGTAACTTGTCTCAGAAATCTAGGAATACTCAAATTGATAAAGTACATCTATGAAAAACCTACAACTTATACATACTGATAAAAGATCTCTTCCGGGCTCGGTGGCTTAGCCTATAAACCCAGCACTTTGGGAAGCTGAGGCGAGTGCATTGCCTGAGCCCACGGGTTCAAGACCCACCCAGGCAACTTGGCGAGATCTCGTCTCTACAATAAATCAAAAATTAGCCGGGCTGGAAGCACACGCCTGTAGTTCTGACTACTTGGAAGGCTGAGGTGGAAGGATCACCGGAGCCCAGCAGGTTGAGGCTGCGGTGGCCAATAGCGTGCCACTGCACTCCAGTCTAGGCGACAGAGTGAGACTCTAACTCAAAAAAAAAAAAAAAAAAGATCTCATTGTTTCTCCCTGAGATTAGGAACAGGGCAAGGATGATCACTTTCAGACAAATGACTTTTATCCAGATTATATACAGAACTCTCCCATCCAAGTACTAACCAGACCCGACCCTGCTTAGCTTCCTAGCAATCAGATGAGATTGGGCGAGTTCAGGGTGGGATGGCTGTAGACTAAGAAGACAACCCAAATTCTAGCAGGGTAAACAATGTGAACACTTTACAAAAGAAAATATACAAATGGTCAAATCACACATGAACAATGCTCAACATTGTTCGCTATAAGGGGAACGCAAAATAAAACCACAATATACTCTATAGTCATTAGAAGGGCTATAATTATAAAAAAACAAACAAACAAAAAAACAGAACAACCACACCATACCAAGTAGTAGTGTGGACGTGGAGTAACTAGAACTCTCATATATCCTGCTAGTGGGGATGTAAAATGGTATATTCATTTTGTAGAACAGTTTGGTAGTTTCTTAACATTAAACAATCCCTTCTAGGTATTTACCCAAGAGGAAAAAAAAAAAGTCCACACAAAGACCTTATACCAGCAGTCCCCAACCTTTTTGGCATCAGGGACTGGTTTCATGAAAGACAATTTTTCCATGAAAAGGGGAAGGGGAGGATTATACAGTCAAACCTCACTTCTAATGTTAATTTGTATTTGTAGCCACT